GACTCGGCTATCGCAAGAGGGGAGATGAAATGAGCCTATCCAAGTCCAACCGTTAGCAAACATCCATTAACGCGTGGACACCGCAGTGGCATGTAAGCGCAACATTCACGTATCCCCCTCCGCAAAGTCCAAATGGGTCAAACGCAGGAAGAAGAAGAATACCAGAGGAGAACAGAGGAATCATCCCAAACACAAATTACGTACCTCTTGATCACCGCAAGCGCATCCGACCGCATCAGGCTGCACGCGACGGCCAAAACAAAGAGCGATCTAGGAGAAACTTAGGTGTCTAAGATGGCGTTTAATGTTAGGGGGTACTACGGCTACCCTATCACGTGCCCCCCAACATATTGTGTTGCTCTCGCGTAGATGGTTTAGTAATAATGAATGAACGTTATCCTCCTACAGGTTAAGGCCCTTATAAGCTACGAAAAAGCTGCGAAATAACGTGCTAACTACGTCTCCACGCATCGTTAAAAGCGTGCCTAGACGGCTTGTTAAGTGATTTGAACCTGATGGTTAATCTGAGATCGGGTGGAACGCCTGATTTAACGAAGGACTACGTGACGACACGTAGAAGAAGAAGTCCTCAAACACCAGAGGCACAACAAGAAGGACTGGACGCAGGTCTACCAACACCTGCAACCAACAGAAGGGTGATAGCACCAGAGGCATTTGAGTCAATCGAAGAAGAATTGAATAAATCAAGTATTGAATACAAAGACCCAGTTGACGACAACGAGATGTCGGATAACGCGGGTGGCTCTAGTAGCCGTGATGATATCACGTGAATCGAAAGGGTCCCTGGGCCACTCTGGGTCACATTAAGTAACTAGTGGTTAGGGGGTGCGAGAATAAGTGAATTGTGGTGCCAGGGTTCGCGAGAAGTGGACCCGATTGGGAACCACGGTCAACTTTGCCTTTCAAACCAATGTTCATTTCTTTCCCTGTATGGTTCATGTCCTAGTCTGTGTACATGAAACAGAAGACGACGAAAAGAGAAGACCCAAAAAATTATGGCAGGTAAAAAGAAACAGCCAATAGACTTGCCAAAATAAAAAAAAAAAAAAGGCAGATTGATTTTGTATAACAGGTGGGAATGGAAGATGCAACAGAAGGAAAAGAGGGGAATCGCCGGTGTTATCACAAAAAATAAAAAAGAAAAAAGAAAAAGAAAGAAAGGAACGGGGGAAAAATGCCTCTTTGCCTTGAAATGTATAGATTATTATACGCCGGAAATCCAGTATCCGTCCATTGGCATCATTTCCGCAAGCTCCGTCGGCGAAGGGAGACCATGCTATCATATAGAACATCCTTGAAAGCGAATAGGAACGCGGCGGTGAGAACGCTCTGACTGACTTTGGGTCCAATGCCTAAGAAACCCCCGCAATTATTAGTATCATCAAGGTAAAATAATTCAAAAATATAAAAGTAACTTGGGACTGAAAGCAGAAAGCCCAGAGAAGCCATACCATTATACAGCCCACTCCACCCTTCCTCCCTCACGATACGCATCATACTCTCATTCAAACTAGCCTTCTGGCCCTCCTTCTCCTCCTTCCCTGCAACATGCATCCGGCTCTTCACCGTGATATACGGATACGTAACGGTCGTCGCAAGCAACTTGCCCAGGGCGCCCAGGTAGAACGCATCGGTGGGCGTGATCCGCCGCCTCCGCCGCTCGAGGACATTCTTCAACTGCTCGAAGAACGTATATTGCAGGATCGGGTTGATCACCAGGATAAGCGCAGGGAGGACGCCGGAGAATAGCGCCGTCGGCCCTTCCTTGCGCAGGAGCTCCATAAACGTCGCCAGCGTCGATTTTGACCTCGACCTCGACCTCGACTTCCCATCCCCAGCACCCCCGGGAAGCCCATCCTTTTCGTCCCCAGACTTCCCCGCCGTCATCCGCGTATTCACCACCCAGATCGGATTGGTGAGCAACACCGTCGCACTCCCTGCAATGGCGCCGGCAATCATCGCTTCGGCTGTGGTGAGCTTCTTGGACGCCCGGCCGGCTTTGACAGCGGCCTTCTCGAAGGCGGAGCGCGTCCACTCGTACCAGTAGTAGTAGACGAAATTGGTGACGGAGATGCCGAAGAGGGCGGATTCGAGACCGGCATATAGACCCCGGAAGCCCTCGCGTGCGATTAGGTGGCGGATGGCATCGAGGGTGGAGGATTGTGCGCGTTTGGATTCTACTTGGGCGCGAGTGGACAGGGTAATGAGAGGGTAGCTGTTTTGCAGGGTTTTATCTTGTGTAAGTAAGGCTTTTCGCTTTGGATTTTCGGTTAGTATAATGGATAGAGAGGGGGCTCACGTTAAGACCATGGACAAAATGCCACCTCCGGCGCCGGCGAGCGCATGAGCGATATTATCGCTTTGTTGAGCTGCAGCGGCAGCTACGACCGCCTTTTGCTGCTCTCTCGGGACCGGCTGGGACATGTTCACGATATAGTTTCAAGGAGTTCAGATGGCGGGGCGGGATAATATAAGAGAAGAATGTATCCCGGTGTCGTTGACACGGGAAAGCAGTCTGCTAATAAAACAGGAAATTAGGGAGCGGAAGAAAATATCGATACGGAACTCAAAAACACAAGACGGATATATGTGGATAAATATTTAAAGATATCAGCGGCCGTTTCAGTCTGATATTCTGGCCCGTTGCATGAATGCATCTTGTGGTTTGCCGGATGATTGGAGCTTGTGCCTCGGCTTGAAAGATCGAAACCCTGACAAGATAAAAAACCACGATACATAAGATAAATAATATACTCCAGCAGAGATCATCTATGTGAGTTACTAGCACATCCTCTTCTTTTTTTTCCCTTCTGCTTCCACATAGCTCTTTTTTGCCAGTTGGTAGATATATAACTTTTTATGCAAAACGCCAGGCTGGATGGATCGGGGGTTGTTTCACGCAAGTTTCATCTTGGGATAACTACTTCAACGCTTTGTAACTGCTGGAACCTCAGACGAGCGCGTGGCGGCTGGGAGAAACATTCAATCGCCCAAAACTAATGAACCGACGGGAAGGATGGCAGAAAGTAATAAATGCACGCTCTCCCGCCCCCGAATCCCCTCCCTTCTGATCTGCGCCAGTGCGTGTCCTCTGTCTTCTTGAGAGCATCCTTGAGTAGATCGTTTCTCTGCCCAAGTTCTCATTATCAGAAGCTGTATGTAAAGGGAGGGCAGACCGCCTCTTGTAACTAATTATACACAAGTCAAGCTTCCTTACGCGTGTGGAAATGCCACAAATCGCATGTGATTTCCTCTTTCCAGGGTTGTTCAGTGTGTTTACAATTGTAGAGGAAGCTTAGGGCGAGTACTAGTATTCGTATTCACCAACTGACACGGAGGGTTGATTGCAGGGGGATTTTCACATTTTTCCACATGATAATAAGAGCATAAAAGGATAACATGCCGATACCCTTGTATTATTGGATATACTTGTCTTCATGCGCCTCCACTCTGTTAGCTGCAGTATCTATATGCAATGACCTCGTCTGATTTTATTTAAATGCCACTTGTCGGGAGTTTGAGAATTAGTACAGAAGAGAGAAGTAAAAGAGAAGAAATTCAAGGTTATTTTGGTTTTACATATATTGAAGAAGAAAAGTAGGAGAGTGGAGCAACAGCACAGGAGATTCCTGAGATCATTTGAAAGTGTTCACATTTGCAACACGCTATCTAACTTCCTCGGTCTGTGTTATCAGTGAAAAAAGAGGACGTTGCCCTCTCAAAGAATTTATCACAATGAATCCTTAAGATCACTCAAACCAGGTCTATTCAATTGAGACGGAGAAATGAGGTTACTTGTCAAAATGATTATTGATAGACTCCTCTTTGACACAGATAATTAGAATACCAAAAATACAAACAAAATGTAGAGTGACAAAAGATCATCACCGTGCCTGGGATAAGACGCGAGGATACCGGGGTGTAAGATTAGGGCGGAATAAAGAGGAATAAGTAAATGAAGAAAGATGAATAGTATAAAATAAAGTAAGCATTCTAACGAACATCGACAATAATAAGTCATGTAAAGTGGACTTGAAAAGAGGTAAAGGAAAAGAAGAAAGGAAGGGGAAGGGGGAAGGGGATTCAAAGAAGAGCAAGACCTAAACAGCAACAGTAAAACAGCAACAGTAACAGGAGAACACGAAAGGACAACAACATCTGAGAGAGAAGAGTGAGGAAAGAAGCATTTCGGTTAAGTTAACAAGAAGATCGAAGTAGGGAAAACAAACACAACAGCAGAAAACAAGAACAAGAACGGGAAGAAGTTAAATAGACGCAAGAACAGGCAGCCAATGGGACAAAAGACCCTGCCAATCCTCTCGACGCGGAGAAGAGGAGGATTAGCATTGCGCAGCGGTAGAAGATAGGGTTAGGGCAAATAAGAACTTTGAAGATTTTTATGGGGATGGCGTGCATCGTTAATCTCGTGAGGGGGGCTGGGAAGTGAATGGTCAAAACGGTGTTAGCAGACGCGTAGGTGATGGGGATCCGAGCTGGAATGGGAGGGCGAAGTGGACATCTTTGGCACAGCGAAGTTGGGGAGGACTGAGATATAAACAAACAGCAGGTGGAAACGGTGAGGGAAAAGGGGTCCAATGCCAGCTTGCTCGACGACATGACAATCAAAAAAAACCCGCAAATCCCGGTTTAAAAAAATCATTTCCGAATCCCTTGGTTTATGTATTTGTAACAAAGTCAGAAAATATCACTATTCTCTTTTCGTTCGCTTCGGTCCAGGGTGGACAAGGCGTTTTCCAGCTCCAGTTCCAGCTTTATGCCAGGTAGGGAAATTTGACAGCGATCTGTAAATGGCAATGCAGGGAAGGCGGGGAAAGAGACAAATAGAATCTCATAGCATATCACAATCATTTCATCCCATATATCCCATCAGCGCATGACCGATATCACCGCTAGATACCGCCACCCACACACACCTCCCATTTCCAGTACGAACACCAACTCCGGTTAAAACAGACGCTTTAGCAACATCCGCCCGCAGAGCCAGATTGCACGCCCTGCCCCTGCCCAACCTGCACAGTAGGCTTGTTGTTGACAGTCGCCGTGCCCATACGTTCCTTGATCTGTCTAGCCATGGTCAAGAAAGCTTGCTCGACATTTGACGCGCTCTTGGCAGAAGTCTCGAGGAATGGGATTCCAAGACTGTCGGCGAATTCCTATTTTTTAATGGAGAAAGGTAGCAAATGTGTTAGCAAGCATTCATACAAAATACCTTGCAAAGCAATTTAAAGAGTTCCGAGAAAACCCACTTTAGCAACGGTATACTCAACCGCCTTCTTATCCTCCATATCACTCTTATTGCCCACAAGCAACTTATTCACACCTTCAGTCGCGTAGCGGTCGATCTCTTGCAGCCATTGCTTAACATTGTTGAAGGAATCCATATCGGTCACATCGTAGACAACACAGATGCCATGTGCGCCGCGGTAGTAGGAAGAGGTGATGGTTCGAAAGCGTTCCTGGCCGGCGGTATCCCACTATAAAAAGGCAAGGAGGAAAAGAGACTGGTTTAGTGCATTGTTGAATCACGAGGGGGAGAACGGAAAGCTGGGGAGATAGAAGTAGAAATTTGTTAAAGCATACGATTTGAAGTTTGACTGTCTTGCCATCCAGCTCGATTGTTCGGATTTTCTGTTGGGAGAAAAAAATGAATCATCAGCAACTATGCATAAGTTGCCACCTCGCCAAATTATTTCCATTCCAATATCCAAGGATGGGCCGTTATAAGCCTCTCATCTATCTCCACAAAGTCCCCTAAAGACACGGACGATGAGATAACCCAGATCCCGGAAGAAAGTAAAGACACTTTTAACCATTTTTGTTTATCTTTGTTCAAGTACGACTCCAATGGATCAAAAATGAATAGAAAAAGACACTCACAAAATCCACACCAATGGTCGAAATATAACTCTCCGTGTAAGTATCATCCGCAAATCGCAAAAGCAAGCATGATTTGCCCACACCGGAGTCGCCGATGAGGAGTAGCTTGAAGAGGTAATCGTATCTATTGTAAATTTGGTTTGTTTAGTAATAGTATTGACTTTGCTTTGAGGTTTGCTAAGTTGTTGTTCCCTACAACCCTGTATGATGACGGATTTTCGAGCTGATTGAATGATGTGAGATAGGGCGGGGCAGGATTGGATTGGAAGCGTGAAGATATGCAATATGAGGTAGCAGAGTATAACCGCAACTGGAATTGAATACAGAGTCTCCGACGTGACCATCATCCCGGAGCAACGACTCGGACGGAAGACTGATACTCTTCTAACGAATAGGACAACTGCCTACAGCCTCACACCACCTTGCACCGTATCGGCTAGACAAAAGAAGGCGAATGCGACCAGGCCACAAGCAGGGCCCTTCTCAACATATCATCCGGGGGTGTTGGGGAGTTCAAGGAAACCGTGATGAATCGCGTTGATGGATAACGGGAATTAAAAAACGAGGGAGACCGAGATAAAAAAAAAAAAAAGAAAGAAACTCTGCAAGACCAGGTAAAGTTAGCAAAAAGCAGCGTTCTCCCCTTCCATGATTCTTCTCGGTTTTAGTTTCCCACGGATCACGGCTAAAGGAGTCAAATCGCAGATGGGTAGAGTGGGGGATGGACACTGTTGGCCGGGCCTGAGCTGAGCTGAACTGAGCAAAGGCAAATCGCAACGGACCAACAAGACACAGTTCAACCAAAGCAAATGCAGGAGTTGACACTGATACCCGAAGCCAAGGTGAATACCGATGTGATGCGGGCCACACTCTCTATCCGCATGCATCTCACTGTCGAAACGTGTGACCCATCGCCATGTCCCTCGCCGTCACGGGTCCAGTCATGCGGTGCACACAGCAGCCAAGCAAGCGGAGAGGGAAGGGAGTTTGCAGCGAGAAATAGACGATGACGGGCAATGAAAGGGTGGAGATAGAATCAACGGTGAAAACAACGTACCACTCAGGATTCATGATAACAGGCTGCTTGGTTGATGGGAAAGGAGATAGGTATGACGACTGAGGAAAGCGAGGGAAAGATGGGGGTGAGATAGCTATGTAGAATTGGGTGTCGCAGCGTATACGGTTTCGACAGAAGGATGCTATGGAGGAAGGATGTTTTAAGGCGAAGACAGCCCGTTTGGATGAGGTACAGGTATGTATGTTTAGCGGTAGCAGGTTGTTGTTGTCGTTGTTGTTGAGGTGAGGAAGGTTGTAGGTGTCGGATGGTTGTAGATTAGTGATTTAATGGGTTGGAGCCAACCGTTGAAAACGACGACGGAAGCGCGGAAAACTCTCCAGCCCTAGCCTTAAGAACTCTTGAAGAACCAGCGAAAGTTAACTTGACTGACGACGAGTAAGAAGGCAACTTGGATTTATCCAGGCAAGCAGATTCACCCGTGCAGACTGGACGCAGCAGGTAGAAGTCAGTAGTCAATACGTGGTCATGCCCGGGCCTTCCAGATCATGTGATTCACCAGACTTTGTTGGGTGATTGGAATATCCTAGTTTCCCTAAAGCACACTACAATACCGCAAGAAACTGAACATAAAAAGGTGATGGCAATGGCACCTGCTGTTGCTCACGCTGTCCGACGAATATGTATACTATGCATACTACCGCTGCTAGTTGAGTGCTATATGAGTGTACTCTATAGCTTCGTTTCCAAATAAGAACGCCGCAGGTCTTGGATGACCACGGAAAATTCATTTTTTTTCTCTTTTCCAAAATGGCCAGAGTTGCTCCGTATCCTAGCCGAGATGAGACCCGTACTCGGCGATGAATTCTGCCTTCACCCAAAGAAGCGCTGATTTCGCTTCATCGTAGTTCTCATGCTCCACTACGCCTTTCTCCGGCCAGAGACTCCTAGTCGCTGCTCAATCGTCTTCATTGTTGTGAACTTCAGCGGGAAGTGAGGAATGCCAGCATTTGCCCGCTCAGCCCGAAGATCCAGCAGAAAGGCACAAAAATAGGCCTCGCCCAGTTCAAATATCTGGCGGGAAAGACGGAGTAGATTACTGCTTGCCGACTGTTGAAGATTGATAGCATTATATTAGGCTAAATTACTGTCGCGCACGAGGTTACGCTAGGCAATCATACCCGCTCCGTCCATATAGCGTTTTAAAACAACAACTTTTTCTTCGCTTTCGAGAGCCTTGATCTCACCTGGCACTTCCGAGCGTCCGAGGTTACCTCCGATACCAAGACCCTCGTATCCTAAGAGCCATCCAAACAATGGTCGCTTAGGGGCGCGATTTGGATCGATTGCCACTCAGTTATCCTCAGGATCTGCCGGTTCTCCGGGTCGACAAATATACTCTCGTGATGCTGTTGTAAGTGATGGGTCATCTGGAAGCTTGCTTCCAGAATTTACAGTAGTACTCTAGTGGTTCTGGATCATCGAGCATGGCCAGCTGCTTTGGTATATGCTGGAACGTTTTAACAGCTGTTGGCTTGTGGTCGCCAATTGCCTTTCGGTAATTGACAACAGGGCTCGCTGGACAAATGAAAAATGCATATCAGTAGAAGCTTTTCAGGGACTGTTTGGGATTGAAGTGGCAATCACTTATATGAGCCCCTATTGCAGTGGATGACCAGCCCTCATCATTCTCACCGAGTTCTTAACGCCCGCGAGTATGGTCAAAAAAAGAGTCATCAGAAGCTCTATAACCACCATCAGCCAAGCCGCTCTGATAGTCAGCCACTGCTTGCTAACAAAGCAGTTGCCATTGTTGTAAGAGGTCACAGATATGCAGACTGGAAATTGATCCTGACTGGAAAAGAAGTTTGGATATAGGGCCGCTTCGCGTTTGCAAGTTAACTATTATTCCGCCCTCAGCAACGACATTGAAGCAGGAATCATAGAGAATCATATTCCATGTTTATGGCACAGGTGAAGAAGAATCTGAAAAAAAATTGCAACAGACTGAGAGCTGCAGGATATTTGCTGGTGTAGGATTCAGATTTTTGGCGGTGCATGAGAGGTCGATAAATTTTTGAACGACAGTGCTCAGGATTAACTGGCACCAGCATGAAGGGAAATTCTGCATCCAACGTGTTGTTATCGTCACTCACTGGAGTTTGGCAGCTACGAAATCTGATTTTGCTGTTCCGCAGTGTTGGCAGTAATGAGCAGGTTCCTTCAACAATGGAAAATACTGGCAGTGCCTGCATTATATCGATAACTAGCACACCAATAATAGCCCTCATAGCCTCAACGAATTTATCCATATTCCTTTTAGAAAAGGGTGTAGATGTATTTGGTGTATCCCACGAATATATGTGAACATCCTGGTGGAGTATATCAGTGAGTGCAGTCTGGATATGTGCCTCTGGAGCGCCCGGTTTCCTACTATTCCTGCGCTGTGACTGGGGCGGAAAGATCAAGAAACCATTAAAACCTACAACAGGAACAACGGAAGCAAATACACGAAAACTAGGTATGACCACAACACAATATACAGCATTGATTGGAACAATATTCGTGTGCGTTGTCTTCGGCTTTGGAAACATCAAAGCCTTATCGCCAATTGTTTGGCTGGGCATGTCGCCAACTGTATCTGTATCAATGGACTCACGGGTGCGGATATTTAGTGATTTGGGATTTCCACGACGCTCCTTTCGGCATCTTCAATGACATTCACCGGTTCGGTCGACCCCTCGGAATCACCCAAGGTAGCGTTAAATTGGAAGACGTCCTGTTGCTGAGTGGGCCTTGGAGGGGCTTTTTCATTCGCTGAGCTAATTGTGAACGTTTTCTCCTTCGCCACAATCTCGGTATGCCGAAGTTCCCTGTCGAAATGTCTCCAAGTCCTCAGGCGTGTCCCAAGTCTTGAGTTGCGTCAAAAAATATTGGAGACGACACTTCGGACCGTTAGGTTTACTGATATAAGACAATAAGCACCGTCATCATGGGTTGGTTCGTCTTGTTACGGGAATTGTAGAGCATGCATTCCGTGGTCACCCAGGGCAACACCAGAACACACATGCCATGGGGCTGCGGTCAGAGATCCATCAGAACCCGTTTGCCCTAAAGAAAAGGAGTTTGGCATCATTGAGAGATCATATTGCATTGATAAGATACGATGTGAATAAGAATTTCGTATCGTTCAAGGCGCACATCAATCAAATGATTATGAACTGGCAGATACTAAAAGCCAGTCTCTTATTAGTTAAGATAGTAAGATTGCCAAATGAGCAGCCTCCCCTTACATATGTATAGCCACCAATATGACTGGCAAGGATCGAAATCCCTCAGGTTGTAATCATTTTGTTCTAGAAGTGTGTGGCAGACCTGTCAAAGGATGTAGTTTCAGTCCAAGTCACTCAACTTTCAATGTAAGTTTCGACCTAAGAATTTATAATATCGAAAATACTCAGATTTAAATGTATGGATAGTTAGAGCTTATGCTCTATCAGAGTCATGAGTTACCTTATCCTTGTATTATATACACCAAGCCACTTGCTGACAGCCCTATTAAATAGTTCGCGAATTCGTTGAAAACCAAGCTAGACAAAATTTAAATATCACTTCTTTACCGTGAACTTTTGGGAATCAGTTTATCCTCTTGAATTATAACCCCGAAACGCCATTCCCCCTACTTTCATTGATTCTGTCCCTTTTGGCCGTATTCCCCCTAAAGCATAATCAAATTCAACACTATGGTTGGCACGCCACCTCACCGCGTCCATCCCAGGTCACTCTGGAGTCGAAAGTTGGATCTTCTCTACGTTGTCTTTCTTTCAGCGACCGTTTTCCTTGCTTTCTGTACGTTGCCATGTTAGCCCAGGACCATTTTCCCATCCCCTCTTTGCTAGCAATTTGACAACCTGGTGGTTGTTGCTGAAACAATAATAGCGATCGACTTCGTGCCGTTCTATCCTCCGGGATTATTTCCCCAGTGGACAACAGCAATTTACGACTTTTATGTCAATAACTACAATGATCCTCTCTACGTCAAGGACCCGCCTTTCTTTCAGCTGTTTGTTGTCATGGAAGCTCTGTATGCTGTTCCGTTGAGCCTTTGGGCGATACGAGGGTTTATCCAAGGTGTGTCACTGTCGTCTCCTCCTACCTTAATGCATTTGTTGTGAGCCAAATACACTTGCTTAGGCAGTAGCTGAGTTTCTCAAAGATAACCGCATGGTGCCACTCTATCTCCTCCCCTTGGCGACGCATCTTGTTATATCCACTGTCATCTGCTTTGTGGAGGTGTGGAACACCCAGGATTGGCCCAGTGAAGATATTAACAAGAACTTACCTGGATATGTTGGCTATTTCATCATTGGTATGTCTCCATCCCCTTTGGTGTCTTCTGCCTGTCAGTCAGTCTAATTTAATTGACGGAAACCTTTCTAGCGACCACTATGTGGGTGGATATGTTCTCTCGACTCAAATCATCTTTGATTGAGAAAGCCAAGGTAAATTGAGAGAAGAGATGGAATGTATTTCGGTGAAAATTTACTACTTTTGGGTGTGATTGATGGACAAGCGAAATTTGCTCCTAGCTATGATTGGAATACCGCACGTATGTTCAATGCGGGGGGGAAATGCATGTACAACACATATATTACTCCCAGATCTATATATAAATTTCCGCCTCCTAAACCCCAGCGCTATTGACGTTTCACGAAATCAATGATAATATCGTGAGACTTCTTTTACACCCTGCTGCAGCTCCTATCATCCAGCCGCGCTCTTCTATTTTACGGAACATGCAAAAAAGATTGTCAGGGCAGCGATAGTAATAGGCAGAGCAAAAGCACAGGCTGTCACCTATATATACAGTTACAGAATACCCGCCAGAACAGTGAAAGAAAAGGCTTCTCATAGAGCAGTCATGCGGGCGTCGATCACATCCTCCTGAAATCCAAGACGGTGCGCACGACCTTCTCGATAGTCGTCTGGACGATGGATATTGCAATCGAACGCCCTCCTCCCTTCTGAAGTTGCGGAAAAAGAGATATCATTTCCGATACAATAATCTATAGAATTCGGGGCCGGGATAGCTACGACATGGGCGCTACTTTTAAACCCCCATAAAATGAATTGTGACATTGACAAGCAGGTATGGAAATTGAGCGGACCGCCGGGTCAAGAGCGCTGAACCCTTGGATTAATTGAAAGGAGAGAGAAGACATGTCTAGTATAGAGAGAAAAACTTAAAATGAAGGAGAAAGTGAGGTTGAATGTTTCCAACACTAAATCAGTGACCATCTGGGAGAAAGCAAAAGTTGAACGATACAAAAACGTTCGTTGCATTATGAGTTGGGAATGACGGCTCTCTCCCTTGACTGAACCCGTTGGTTGGTGGATCAACAAAGCTATGCTACTCTCAAGGTTAGATTTTGTATGTGGTAGGTTGCAGCGTTCAATGACTGGTATGAGGCGTTCCCTGCACCAAAAAGAACCCATTCGCCGGTAGTGTAGTCCCTATATCCATTGCCTTTGCTGTAACATCCGTAGAAAACGTGTGCACCCACAAATAAAGACTATCAACCGATGTGAGCGCCTGGTACTTGCTACTGCAATTGCCCACCACTAGATCGCAACTCCCAAGCCTTTTGCCTCGAATTCAGCGTGCTTGCATGCCGTATCAGTCATTAGTCAAAAGGCAGTGACCACAACATCTGCCAGGCTCTAACTAAGGGATTCCTCCAAAAGTACCAGCGCCACGAAACCTATGCGCGTCGATGGTGCGCCCAACATAATTGATAGAAACCCAAAACTCGTCACCTTGAGCGGCCAATCTCAAGGGATGAGAGATACCATGATGGGCATGCTTGAGCTTGATGCTACACTCATGTCGGGGCTAACATTGATGATCTGGATAGCGGATAGAAAAGTTAATTTGGCATCTCTCTAAATGCACAAACAGCAGCAGCAACTCCTATAATCCACTCACCAGTAGCGTTTCACACGACTGTTGTAAATCTTTCCAAAAAAGAAAAAAAAAAAAAAAAAAAGGGCCCGCTAACAGTGTACAGTCTGTAGATACTCCTCCATCAGACAAATGGCCAACTCGTAGCTAGAAAATAATATTTTCATAACTTACTCCATCCAACATTGGGCAAGTCAACTAATTCTGCAATAAGTTTCAGAAATGCGGTCGGTAACGATGGCTTCTTCGAGGGTGAAAATGAACATGGCTTCAACCCGAAAATAAGGGGCACGATTCCAGAACTTTCATTAGGCCCATTGGACATACGTGTCAATCTCACATCAAGGCAATTGTTGTTGACACAAACAAATGAAGTAAATGCTGTTTAAAATCCCTGGCCAATCAATCCCCTACTACGGGGGATGGGCTCAATTCCCTCTCGTTGTCGTTATCCCTGGGCACGTAAAACAATGGGCCTTGTATCATTTTCGACACCAGGCAGGGGATGTGTAGGCGTCCTGGGATACTAACTACATAGTAGAGTATGAGGCAATCCTTCGACCCACTTTGGTTCTGGGAGAAGATGTCCTGGCGGCCTGTAGGCAGATATTGGATATTGTTTCATCTCGCGCTCGTGCTTCGCCTCCTGCATGATAAAGATTATTTTAGGTGACGGAAAGTAAGCAGCGGCATGGCTAGCCTCTGTTGAATAGGTCTTATGAAAGCCACAAACAACATTGCTCGAACGGCAATGTGTGAATTATCCGGCCCACCCACCCGGAATTTGTATCACCCTGAATCTGTGTCGCAAGGTCTCTGAATGTCCGCGTAAAAATACCGGATGACGAGCTTAGCTTCTTCCAGTCTTCTAGTCAAGGCCGCGAATACTAATTTAGAGAGAACTATTTTTGGAAAAAAAAAAAAAAAAAAAAAAAAAAAAAAAAAAAAATTGTTAAAGTCAGGCCAAATATTGTGTATATAAACTTACTTAGGTATGTTTGTGATAACTATCGCAACCATATTCGGAATTACAAAGCAATCAATTTCTTTCTAGGCTCAAATATGTTACGTTTTTGGCTAGAATCACCTCCCGATCACGGATTAAATGCTGCAGGCTTATTACTCTCAGTTTCTACAATTGTACTCATTTTCATAACATATTTTGCGTACGCCCATGCCAGTTGTGGCGGGAACATTCCCCGGCTCCGAGAGCCATCAGGAAGAAAGCGTTTTAGTCTCAAGACCCGTTGGGCTTATTACACTGACTGTGCTGGGCTCTTCAACGATGCCTACAACAATGTAAGGTTGGCCTTTTTCCCTTTGAAAGTTTGTTGAGCTTGTTACTTACCTACCCTCCTCAACTAGTTTTCAAAGAAAGGATTGCCAGTATGGATACCCAGTCTTGGGACAAGAAATGACATTCTCATGCCTCACAAAGACCTAGCGTGGGTGCTTGCCCAACCGCCAAATATTATAAGCATTCGACATGCCTATAACGACATCAATGGAATCAAAAGGAGCTTAGGAAGTAGCAAGTATATGCTTGACAATTGGCAGGGTATGCTAGTATCGAAAGAACTTAATAAAGTGTTGGACGGTATTGTCCTGTCGTTGAACGATGAATTGAAGTATGTGTTGGAGTCTCGGCTTGGACGAGATACCGTGGATTGGAAAGTCCTGGATCTGCAGCAAACAGTGCAAATGATGATAGTGCAGGCAACGAGTCGCTTCCATGTTGGAAAACCGCTCTGTAAGTTTGAAAGTCTTTGTGTGGCCACACGATGCGAGCGCTTATTGATTTATTCGTTGAGAGCGAAACATAGACTAATGGTACCCGTAGGCCGCAATGAAGAGTACCTCCACCTTATCTTGAACATCATGGACGAGATGATTTTTAGTGCTGCTGTAACTGGCGCATTCCCGGCCATCCTACAGCCTCTGATTAATCCTGTTGCAAGCTGGAGACTTCGTCGACTGATATCTCGGGTTCGAGAGTTAATAGAGCCTCGTTTCGTAGAGTGTATGGCACATGACACCGCCGATGACAAGTGTACTGATTTTTTTCAAATGTTGTTTCGATTCGCGCGAAAGGAGCGGCCTGACGAACTCAATATCTGGGATCTGACCAACCGCCTTTGCATGGCCAACTTTGAAGCGATTCATCAGACCAGCATGGCTATCACAAACATAATCCTAAATATCGTTTCCTCGGATGCGGAGTATGACACCATTTCAATACTCCGTAAGGAAACTACTGCTCACTTGGGGTGTGGGAGCGGTGATTCCGGAGAATACCTCGACGATGACACAAAGTGGACAAAGGCTAAGATTGCGAAACTGGTCAAGGCTGACAGCATTGCCCGCGAGACGATGCGGCTCCATTCCTTTGCAAACCGCGGACTCTTTCGCAAGGTCATGGCGGATGGCGTTCAGACAGAGGATGGTATCTCTCTACCTAAAGGCAGCATTCTGTCATTCTTATCGCAACCTCTACACACCGATGGTGACATTTTCGGAGATCCTTTAAAATTCGATCCCTGGAGATTTTCCCGGGCAAGGGAGCAGTGTGAAAGTGCCACGGCAAGCCCAGCAACCGTCGAAGCTGCCGGAACACATTCGCTGGTATCTACTTCCCAGTTGCTGTCTTTTGGCCGGGGTCGCAACGCCTGCCCTGGACGGTTTCTTGTCGATTTTGAAGTCAAGATGATTGTTTCGTGCCTTCTTCTCAAATATGACATTCGCTTCCCTGAAGAATATGGCAACCAGAGACCGCAGAATAGGTGGCTTGCCGAAGCTTCAGTCATCCCTAAAGATGCCAAAGTTATGGTGCGACGACGGAAATAGAGGTCGACATCCTGTTACGCGCTGCGTGCGCTCTTTCAATCACAGTTGGAGTAATTTAACTATCAGAGAACCAACGCTATGTAACACCCTATAGGGTGACGCCAAGTGAATTTTAGACGAGGCAGAGAGTTCAATATTAGTTACCCAAGGATTGAAGAAATAAATCAAAGTAACAAAACTACTCCGTACTGCAAACGGTTAAGAGTGGCTGGGCTCCCCAACAAGTTCTTTTCTAGTCAGGGATCAAACAAGGTTAAGCAGAACCCATGCTGGTACTCAAGGAGGTTAGGGATCTGGCGTTGCGCTAGAGCCAGATCACAGCTTAAAATCCATGCCCCCGCATCACGGTTGGGGTGAGCTGAAAAAAAAAAAAAGGGTCCGTAACAATCTGTAAAATATGAAATTATTACCAGAGACAGGGGTGCGGGCACGAACACCGAACAAAAATTCCGGATATAAAAAGAATCTTGAATTGACCATGACCACCCCGATAATTATAAGGAAGGACAATCGAGGTAGTGCTCGGGTTTCAAGAAGCAACCGAGATGACCAGGTCGATAGTATCTCCAACACACGATCAGGCAGGATATGTAGGGGGAAAACTAATCTACTCCACTATGGTAGGTAGCCAACATATGTTCTTTGTTCCAAAGATGTTTAATTCTAGAGAGATATTCCAACATCTTAGTTACCCCCTCACTCGTTAGAATTAAAATGTAGTGCTTCTTCTTGAGGAAATTTCCCACTTTTGTTTTGTGGTTACCTCGAATCTGTAGGTGTTATATCTTGGATCAAAACTAGCCAGCATGCCGATTGAAAGATAAAGTTCGGGAACTCATACAATGGTCATCCACTAAATATTTAGTGCTCTGCTAACCAAAATATTTGAGGGATTCATGATTTTGTAATGTTTCAATTTATGTGGGTTATCACTGATTCGGGAATGATTTTTGAAGCCTAGAAAATATATATCTCACTTCTATTTTTCGACGAAAGAAAAACTCCTTGTGTGTTTGATTGAAGTGGTGGCCGGGGAGAGCAGAAACTAACGAAGCCTAATAATAATAATACATACGGTACGGTACGGTACTGAACCAGTTCATGGTCGGGCCGGGGCCTCTCAGTTGGTTGCGGGTAAGCCACGCAGCCAATCACAATCTGGATGGCAATGGCTGGGCAAGCTTGATGTCACATGATATTTGCCCCAAGACAGACCCCTCCCAACTTAAAAGCGACGTCAGAGGTTTCAAAGTTTCAAACACGCGCTAACCATCCAGTGAGACCGCAAACACCCCTTCAATCCAGCAGCTCAAGCGAGCACCCGAGTTTTGAGGTTGATATTCGTATTTCCAAATGGATTGGGGGTGGCATGGCCAAGCAAGAGATCTGTCCGGTGTGGCACGCATAATGGTACCCCGTTGACTGGCTCGAAGTCGAAGCACATCAACAGGCTGGCAACCGCTCCTGGCACTATGGTACGAGCAAAATGCCTCCCTAGACAGATATTTCCACCGCCGCCAAATGCCCGGAATATATCAGGGATTTGGGTCTCTGGAAACCGTACGCCTAGGAATCGCTCAGGATCAAACTCTTCCGGATTGGTGTAGAACTTGGGCGATGTGTGGATGGCGATGCCGGAGCTCCATATGAAACTACCTTTGCGGAGGAAGTACTGGGTCTGATTGCCGCCAGTCTTCACCTCCAATGGGTAATCCTGCTCGACCCTTCTAACTGTCACTCCCACTGCAATCAGACGTAGTACTTCATGGAATGTTGAGAGCAGCAGAGGGCATTCTAACTCCACCCGGGATAGGTCGACGGAGGGATCTCCGCGATGGTCGGTGGTAGTGAGCGGTCCCAGCTCCTCCCGGATTCTTGCCTGGAGTTTGGGGTCTCGGAGAATAAATGACAAGACCGCGAAAGAGACGGTGGCGGCATTATCGAACTGCCCCACGCTTTGTGGTAGTGACATCCGAGCCACCTCACGAATTCCAAGCCCAGTTTTGTCAAGGGCGGCTTTGCGTGATTGAGCAAGCGCGCTTGCGTGCTCAAACCCTCCTTGTTTTTCATATTCAACGAAAGCATCAACAACCTTTTCACGAGCGGCCGCCCCACGCCACGCGAACAGACGTGGGAAGCTGTATTTCAAAAAGTTGTATCCGCTGTTGAAAGTCCAGAATTGCTCCCACAACTCGGGCTTGGTGCAGTAAGGACTAGTGGGCCCCCAAACTGCTCGAGATACGGAGACTGTGACGGACATACGCAGCCAGTGCCATATGTTAACGTTTTTCTGCCCATTATTCACCGAATCCCGAAGTGACTCGAGGATCGGCTGCCATGCTGTAGCGAAGTCACTTCTCATGGCATCGAGGCTATTGCCCAGTGACATGGTTCGCAGCTCGACTTTGTGATAGTCGTGTACAAAACCGATTCCGTTCCCCACGTCACCGCGGTCAACGCCCCTAAATAAGAGCTCGGTAGCTTTCTTCGGTTGGCCGCCCATGCTCGCCATAACGAGCACCGAAATCCATCCGAGGCCCGTATATTTCGATCTTGCTTGGATGGTAAGAGTAAGTTGCGGAGAATTAACGACGTATATCTTCCAGCCGAAAATGGAGACGGTGAAAATCCCATCGGGAAAGTCGTCTATGTGCTTTGCGGCCAACTGATCGAGGATTTGGGTTCCGTGGGTCCAGAGTTGCCAAAGGCTGACTCGAACTAACGGCGGTTCGATATATCCGGTTTTGCTTAAGGGGGCTTGTTCTATCTTTGCTAAAGCAAGGAGAATGACCGCGACAGCGACGAGAATTGGAATGTACAATGCCATTTTTGCTGCAAGGTAATGAAAGGGGCCGTCAAGTGCTGGTTCTTGAAGAAGGATGAGGAAAGTTATGTCTGCGCCGACTGAAATATCAATATCGGAATGAAAGAAAAAAAGAAAGAAAGAAAAGCCGACTGAAGCTATCGAAGCACTAATCGACTCGGGTCTGCCTCGCAACAGCAAAATATCAAAATCAATCACCGCTGGTCGACTTTTCGAACAAATCAGAGGGAACCATGAGTCAAGCAGGGCTTAATTATGATATTTATATTTAAGGAAGTCTCCGATTTAGCTACAGAGCTACCCACTATAAATCTCTTGGAAAAAATCCCCCATCCTTGCCGGCCGGGCAATCTATGTTAGTTCAACATATTGATTTCCAAGGCACTATTTTAAACGATGGGATGACCTTTCATTTCTATTTCTGGAATTCCCCTTTTATTTGATTCACTTTTTTCCAGGGCCATCAACAAGGACTGTGTCCAGACAATCCCAGAACTGTCATCCGCCGGGTTATGAATTGTCCAGCCTCTCTTTCGGTGTTCTAGAGCCAGAATGGGTCTGCTACTGGCACTACGCTGTATTACCCTGGCATATTCTCTGTCTGCATCTTGTAATCGGCTGACTGAGGATGAACTCCACCCCTCCCTGCAGTCAGTTTTCGGAGCCTCATCCTTGGAGATACTCTGGTATGCTTAGCATTTTGGTTACAGTGGTGGGGGCGTTAAGTTTGAAACCCTCCCCAGCCACGGAGATTATTCTATATAGCTGCTTTTCATGCTCATTATCACAAGCGTAGAAATGAGATATTGAACTGGTATTTTCATTAGTGTATTGAGATATTGTTGTGATATTTTTTTTTTTTTCCACATTTCAAATTCTATAGATGATCAAGGATTCAGAAATGATTTCTGGAAGCTCAGGGAATTGAAAATATATACTATCTATTATATACATCTCCCACATTTAATTTTCTATTGTTAAAAAATTCCTTGTGTTGAGATATAGTGATGCAAGAGAGATAACTAGATGATGTATAACAATCAGTGGTATTGTAACCTATCGATTAGTTAACATTAGCGCGTCAACAAGCCCTTTCTCGGCAGTTTAGTAGACTAAATATTTAGTTCGTTTTCGAAACAGGGTGTCAAGCATTTAAACTTAATGCTTGACGCTTTGGTCGAACTCAAAATATGACTGAACGATTAGTCGTGATATCGGATATCGTCTCAGCACACAAACGGTTTTTGATTCGGAGATGATATCGACCTTGGTCACCCGTCCTTCCTGATTAATACTGCCTTTTTATTGTGTAGCTAATTATCAGAGTTAATATAGTTAATCAATTCAATGACATTTTTTGTTTCCCAGAACAGCAGAAGTGAGATATATGCTTAATAGACTGTATTCATTTTCACTTTTCTGGCTTCCAAGAAATCATTTCTGAATCATTGATCAACTGTATAAACTGAAATGGAGAAAGAAATTAATAAAATAATTCATTACAAATCCCTCAATATTTTGGTAAACTACTAGGATCTAAATCCTTCGTACGGAGACGCTGTAATGAGAATCCCGCGGCATACCTGCGTAACTCCGCGCCGTTAGGACCCAGAAGTATTGGCAAACGCCAGTCTGACCCGCTCTAATGCACGGGGAGGTGGATCCGTTTGACTGACGACAGACGATAACTCCCCCCAATAAGCTTATCCCAAGAGCACGGGATTAGTCTGGAGAAATCGGATATTTTAGCGACAATATTACTCTGTAAGCTAACGACTCTTTAGGGAATATTTCCCGCCAACTGGAACTAACATATCCTTGAACCTCAAGAAGCGGCCGGATCGACAGCTCCTTGCTCACGGGTGTTCAGAGGAGTGTCAACCTTTTAACACCATGTTACAAAACTCGCATTTGAACTGAAATGCTACCCAAAGGGAACAAACAGGCATGATATTTACAAAAATAGAAGCAAGCTTCGGAACGGGGAAGCCAAGAAGACAGCCTTACGCAGCCTACTCCGAACAAGCAATCAATGTTTATAGCCCCTGTTGAAAGGGGTCTCTAAGCCAGCCACTTGGTATCTATGGATGGAAGCGACTTGGGGGCGAATGCAAGGGGAATATCTAATTTCAAACCAGGGCTTCAGATCTCAATGGGCCGTTGTGAGCATCTTTTCAAGGTAATGGTGAGACGTGATGGCCCAGATGGCGTCCTCGGAGAGAAGCTGCTCAACAGCACCCATCCTCTGCAGCATTTGAATTATATTGCTATTGTCTCTTTCAGCTTCTGTCCTCATCAGACAAACATATATAGGGTCACCCCGCGAATCTGGTCGTTGAATCCCTAATCCCGATTGTTTTTATCTTCTTTTTTACGCTGGCCCCATAGCCATTTATCTCAACACAACGCTTTCAGCGCGATGTTATTAGCAGAAGTCCAGAAAGTCCTAAGATTAGCTGTCGGTCATTCCTTGGATCTGCAAAGGACGGATGGAGCTTGGTGCGGAGAGGTACATTCCAACGCCACATTCACTGCTCAATATGTTTTTCTGCAACAACAACTTGGCCTGCCATTGGATCCCACCGAAATCGAAGGACTGAGTCGATGGCTGTTCTCCCAACAGAATGAAGACGGATCATGGGGCTTGGGGCCCGGTCTTGGTGGAGACGTATCAACTACCACAGAGACCTACCTTGCCCTCAAAATCTTGGGGGTTTCCCCAGAGGACCCTCGCATGGCGGCCGCACGTTCATCGATAATAAAGGCCGGCTCATTACCTGCCACGAGGATGTTCACCCGCGTATTTTTGGCCTCATTTGGCCTGATTCCCTGGAGCGCCGTACCACCTCTGCCTGCTGAACTGATTTTGCTGCCTACCCTGTTTCCCGTGAATATCTACAACCTCTCTTCATGGGCTCGGGCTACTTGCGTCCCGTTGCTCTTAATCAGGCACCACGAACCGTTGCACAGCCTACCAAACGGACGTCATGCTGAAAATGACTTCTTAGACGAGCTGTGGACCAAAGATATTCCAAGGGACTTTTGCTATACGACGCCTCTGAGCAGGATGTGGAGGCTTGGAGATTATGCTGGCATTTTCTTCACTAGTGCAGATCATGGACTCCGTTTTCTTGGTCAATACTTCAACTCGCCCCTTCGAAACCTCTCTCGCAGGAAGATTATCAACTGGATACTCGACCATCAAGAACAGTCCGGCGAATGGGCAGGATACTGGCCTCCTCAACACAACAACATCTGGGCGCTCTCACTCGAAGGGTACTCGCTAGATCATCCGGTGCTGCGGCGTGGCATCGCTGCTGTGAAAAGTTTTGTCCTCCATGATGTGACGGGGATGAGAGCACAAGTCACGGTTTCTCAGGTATGGGATACAGCATTGATGAGTATTGCACTCAGCGACTCTGCTCCGAGTACAGGAATTATCAGCCCCACTCAGGCGATTGACTGGCTCATGCATCACGAAGTGGCTTCACACCGTGGAGATTGGCGAGTGCTACGACCTAAACTAGCAACGGGCGGGTTTTGTTTTGAAGAATTCAACACACTTTATCCGGATGTCGATGACACTGCGGCTGTAATCATGGCCCTAATCAAAAGCAATCCTGCACATTTGATATCGGGCTGCGTTAGACGTGCGGCACAATGGATCCTCGGTATGCAGAATAGAGACGGGGGTTGGGGAGCATTTGACTGGAACAACGACAAATTCTTTCTCAACAAGATTCCCTTCAGCGACATGGACAGTCTTTGTGACCCAAGCACTCCGGATGTTACCGGTAGGATTATAGAGTGCTTCGGGATGATGATGGCTGGCCGACACGGATATTCATTGGATGGCCCGCTGGAAAGCAGGCTGCGAGCTTCATCTCAGCTCGCCATTGCTTACCTTCTCGGCTGTCAAGAGAACAATGGGTCATGGTGGGGGAGATGGGGAGTTAACTACCTCTATGGCACCAGCAATGTCTTGTGTGGCCTTGCATACTACTATGACCGGTCCGGCCTTTCTAAAGGTGACGGCAAGAGCAACAGCCATATTGTCAGCGCAGTGGATCGAGCATCGGAGTGGTTAAAGGCTCGTCAACACTCCAACGGTGGGTGGGGAGAAGGGCCCGAGTCGTATGACAGTGCCCAATTGGCTGGATGCGGGCAACCGACAGCTTCACAGTCGGCCTGGGTTACTATGGCGCTCCTGAATTACTTGTCACCAACTGATGAAGTAATTCAAAGGGGTATTTCCTATCTCGTCCGGAGCCAGGTGAAGTACGGGGATGAGAGCAGAGCAACATGGCCTCTTGAAAGGTATACGGCAACTGGATTTCCAGGCCATTTATATATGGAGTATGATTACTACAGGCACTATTTCCCTATCATGGCTCTAGGAAGATATGTAAACAAACTGTCTGAGTCTCACAAACTATTATAACTTTTGCAATATTAAAAGCTACTTTCAAGTATCATTTAGATGGTCATGTGCTGGACACAGAATACACTAGTCATTGTATATAATTGTTGTTTATCATATATTAGATTGAATCGAAACATATCAGAGAATATCAAAAAAAAAATATTGAGACAGCGCAGTAGAAACATCAACAACATTTAAAATAACATCTCAAAGTACGTAACTAGTCAATTGAATCTAAAAGTAATACTCTAGTGATCTTATTCTAATATGTTTTCCCCCCCCCCCTCAGGTACCTCAGTAGTCAATGAGATGGCCGAGCTACACAAGGGCTCAGTTGAACAAATTACTTGTATTCTGCGAAGTCAAAATGCACAGATAGAAGTGCTGACTGAATCTTCCAACATCAGCACAAAATCAACGTTGGCGAAGAGAAGGTGAAAAAGTTATTTTGCATTAGAGAAGGGAGGTTAAAAAGAGATAGATGCAAGTGAAGCAAGGCGATTAATCTGACTTTTTCCAGCGTCTGCTCTTTATTCTTCAAAAGGTTGAAAAAAGTATGCATAAGGGGTTGTTTAGTAAATAGTTGGCTCCGTTCTTACACTCCAAACATCTGGTGGCACATAGATAAAATAACGTGGGCACGTAGAACGTATGTACTGTACAGCACAACACAACATTGATAAAAAATATTGGCTATATTGGAATGTACACTTGGAAGACAGACAATTAAACCCCCTTTTCTAGGTCTCACCTCGTGACTTTTAGAGCTTCCATCTGATCATCCTTGACTTGTTCTTACGGCCATTCCACTCAGAACCCATGATCAGAGCAATAAAGGACAAGTCACTGCCTAATGCCTAGGGGACACTACACATCAAGCATACCCGTTCTCCTTCAACCACCCCGCAACAATTGCTTCCTCCCTCTGCTTATAATTCGCATTCGTCCTCACTGTATCCGCAACAATGACAAGGCCCCGGTCAATCCCATCTTGATCCTTCCCTGCAAAGAACTCCGCAATGTCCCTCCCCACATCATGTTCCGCAAATTTCCCCAGGCTCATCCTCAAAAACCGATCAAAAACGATTTTATTACTCGTCAGCCGTTGCTCAATCATCGGCCAGTTCTCCTTGATGAAGTTCCAGAACACAAGACGCGCTTGAGAGTTTCCAGCCATTGCACTAGCGCCTGTGTGGAGGTCTTGGATGGCCACGTTCGATGAGAAGAGGAAGTTGCCATAGCTTTTGATCAGGTCAGGGTTCTTGGTACGGCCGAGAGATAGAAGGCAGATTTCTTTGCCATCGATGGAGTCAGTACGGAGGTACTCTTCCATCACCGCGTCGTACTCCTTCTTTCCGCCTTCAGCAACGGTTATGCCGAATACAGCGGACCGGAGGGAAGGATGGACGGCTGCCTTGTCCTCTCCGGACGCCCAGAGGTCAAAGCGTCTTCTAGCCTCCGCGATGGTTCTGATTACAGATTCATTAATTGACCGTATTTATAGTGAAAGAGGACATAAAAGGTGGGTACTCACGCTTCATGACCGGAATTTCCTGCCATCGAAATGAGCAAATGTCGTAACTGGAAGGTGAGGTAGTCGTCTTCGGGTTTGAATTCCCACCCAATTTTCTCCACAGCGGGCGTGACGAGCTTCCTCACATAGTTCTTTAAGGCGGTAGCCATGCCTTCATTAGTTGAGAACACTGAACGTAGGTTGCCGAGAGACGAGGCTATCTGCGACCAGACACTATCAACAAAAGGAACTGTTAGTGCACTTGTAGACACGGCTGCAATTCCTGGTGTTAGAATTCGAGTAATCCTACAGGTAACTTTGTTCATTCTGAAAACCCTCAAGCAGGGCTAGGAGGGCAGTGGTGCTTCCATCGCCAGATACAGCCAATGCCGCAGCATCCCCGATGAGACCGATTTTGTCTTCATTGCTCAAGCGTTCCTGTGATTTACCTAACTTTGCAAGTCTGCCTGGAGGATAGTTTATTCGGTAGAAGCCGCATTGGTCAAGGTTGATCTTGTAGAAGTTGTTGTCGATGTTTTGAACAACGTCAGACTTGGCTGTGAGGCCTTTCTGCTCTTGGATAGTCTCTCCAGACTTGATACCCAGAGGAATCCACCAAACAGTCTCGTCTTCCTCGGCCTTCACATCGCCAGATGCAAGGAAACGTTTCTGGGAAATGCTGAGTTGATTAGACTCCTCCTTTATCGTGACCAAGGGAAACCCAATCTTGCGAATCCAAGGGTCCTGCGTGGTGTATTCAGGTTAGTATAAGCAGCTTCAAATGGTGGAGGAATATAAGGCTGCAAACCATAAACTTTGTCACGTCCTGGTTGGAAGCTTTGCTTAGAGCTGACCAAAGGTCGTTGGTGGTGGCGTTTCCTGGCAGTATGAATATTAACCACCATGGCATTTCTCAATATGGGCAACTAATGAAGTATATTACCATATGCATGGGCTTTCAGATAGTCCGACACTCCGCGTAGGAATGTCTCCTGCCCGAGGTGGCTGCTCAGCATTCGAATGACTGAGCTGCCTTTGAAATAACTGATGTGGTCGAATATCTGATCGACTTCGAGAGCATTCTTCACGGGGACTTCAATTGGGTGCGACGCCCGGAGCGCATCGAGTTGGAACGCTGATTGGAGTGCCTCAGCCTATAAACATGTTAACAAAAGGCCGAATTGTAGAAATTTTCAAGGTACCTCTGGCATTTCGTACCACAAACTGGGACCAAATATTTCGTTCTAGTCAAACTTGTAAGTAATGCCTACATATCTTATTCTCAAGAAATATATTTGCTTACCCGGATGGAAATGATCAATCGCCAGCCAGCCAATCCATGTAGCGAAACCTTCGTTCAGCCAAAGCTCATTCCACCAGTCCATGGTAACAAGGTTACCAAACCATTGATGAGCGAGTTCTACAGTGGTTAGTTTAAGGACCAGCAAGAGAAAAAAAAATATCTATATTCTTACCGTGGGCAATAACATAAGCAACCCGGTTCCTGTATTTATTGTCCGATTTGCCTTCTTCGAAGAGCACAGCAGTGGTTCTGTAAGTCACCAGACCCCAGTTCTCCATAGCTCCACTGGCCTATGCGAAAAATTAATATAACGGTTAAATGAAGGTGGAGAAAAAAAAAAGGGAAAAAAAGAGGGGAACGGAAAGGAAAGGAGGAGGGGGGAGGGAGAAACGGTGTGGACTCACAAATTCATGGACAGCAAGCAAGTCAGACTTGGGCAATGGGTAATCGATCTGGAAGATTTCCGAAAAGTAGTCAATAATTCGGTGGGCGTATCCGGCCGCAAATCGAGCTTGTTCCTTCAAACCTCGTGTGGTATAGACGCGAACTGGGATGTTGACGCCGTTATACTTGCGTTCCGTCTTCGCCTCGACGTATTCAAAGTCACCCACAGCCCATGCGAGCAACTAATATCATCGATGTCGATAATTAGTATATGACTGATGACGAAAGATGACAGCACGGATTTAGTGGAACTAACGTAGGTGCTCATGATCGGGGTGCGCTCAAACTTGACGACGTGCAAATCCGCGGAGGAACCGTCGCGGGTTGATTTCACGGGCATGTTGCTCAAGGCGACCAGATCCTTAGGAGTCTCGATCTCAAAGTCGAAGGTGGCCTTCAAGTTTGGCTCATCGAAGCAAGGAAAGGCCTGCCTAGCATCACAGGCTTCGAATTGGGTGCTCAACATATAGTGGTGGTCTGCATCCTTCGGGGTGCTGGGGGAGGGAGTCTCGAGAGGCTTGTACTTGGATCGATAGAAGCCGGACATGTGATTATTGATGGTTCCTGCGAAATCGACAGCGAGGACGCAAGTACCAAGGGGGATATTTGAAGGGAATTCAAGAGTAACACGTTGGGAGGCCTTGTCGTATGAGATGATGGACGCCTTGAGGACGATTCCTGGAATTAACGACAGCAGTAGCACGATATAAGCAATCTGTCCCTCAAGCAGGCGTCTGCGACATATTGCACAGGAGAGAGAGAGAGAGGGTTAGAGGAATGGCATACCAGCGGGAGAAGAGATCTCAGCATTGTTGACGGTGAGCTCTTTGGCATTGAGGACGAATTCACTGGTTTCGCGGGAGACCTTGATGTCTATCTTAACTTGTCCCTCGTAGGCCCAAGAGGGGCCGAACTTGAGGTTGAAGAGGGAGAGGTCATAGTGGGACGGTTTGGCCCTGGAGTATTTAATTGATGTTATTGGAGGGCACACAAGGCAAATATACACCGTGTAAGTTAGGCAAGGAACAGTCGACATACACATCGGGCAGGGTATCTCTGTCAGCGGCACCCATGATGCGCAATTGGGTGGAGTAGCAGCGACGGTAGCCAGGCAGAACAGGAGATCGCGGGACAAACGAAGAGGAAAATACAGAAGACGAGGCAATACAGCGGGTTGTCAGAGGAGCAGAGGAAGAAAAAGAAGCAGAAGCAGAAGCAGAAGCAGAAGCAGAAGCGGAGGAAGATAGCGAGGTTGTGGTTGCGGAGGTGAAGAAGCGCGCGAGGAGGGGCAGACGATGATGGCGATGACGTGCGGCGGGGACGGTGGTCCAGGGAGGGAACAAGCTGCGATCAAAGCCTCGAATAGCCGGCGTCAGTATAGCGACAGGTGCAACAGCGCGGAGGTTGATTATTCTGCTGCTCTGCCCTCGCAGCGAACCCAGAGCCAACATCCGCAGAAGTCCTGTGTAGTTAACTATTTAGTTGTCCTTGTTATGTGGTGCATATTTTCTACAGCCTTGGCGTTTGATTTATTTATATACCGAGCTAGCTACTGTGTTGGGAGTGTCAATACTTAAACTAAACGAATTAACTAGTTTAGTGTTAAATAACTCGTTATCCCATTGCTTCCCGTTGATCATATTTAGTTCGTGAAGGTTCCTTTGCGGGTTCAGTTGCTGTTCAGCCAGGGTGCTCCAAGCTTGGCTTGCTATATACCAACCTGCTTCGGCCTGCTTCCTGGCAAACTTCTTCTCCACCATCAGAGGATCATATCACCGCCATATACACCCTCACGAGCATGTCCGATTCAGACGATGAATACGTCGCCCACGCTTCGGATCATGACCTCGACGACGTCTTAGACGAGGACGACGATGACGATGACGATGAGCTCGATGCTCGCCCCTCTGCCTCTGGCCCCCGGCGTCGTCGACCAGCAGCAGCACCAGCAGCAGCAACGACTAGGTCGTCGCGAGACGCCAGGAAGAAGCAAAAGGGCCGTGGTGGTGCTGAGTGGGAGGTGTCCAGGACTTGGGAGACGCTGGTTGAAAGCGCGGATGGCACCATCAGCGCTACTGTGGAGGATCTGCTGGGGGCCGGGAAAAGGAAACGGTATATCACAGTTGAACATCCAGCCTAGGCCAATTGATTAATCCATCGCTATGCTAATAGAATAAACCCCCCGATGACAGACTACTCCGCGACACCACCCCGCTCCAACGCGGCATCATCAGACATCTCATCCTGGTCTTAGACCTCTCCTCTGCCATGGCCGAAAAGGACCTCCGTCCCACCCGCTACCTCCTAACCCTCCGCTATGCCCAGGAGTTTGTCCTCGAGTTCTTCGAGCAGAACCCCATCTCCCAACTAGGCGTGCTGGGCATGCGCGACGGCTTAGCTGTGCGCATCAGCGACATGAGCGGCAACCCCACCGATCATATCATGGCTATCCAGGCCCTCCGTCCCAAGGACCCCAAAGGCACGCCATCTCTGCAGAATGCGTTAGAGATGGCCCGTGGTGCGCTTTTGTAGGATACTTGCTCCCCTTTCTACTGATTCACTCCCAGCAAACATCAAAAACATAATACTAACATCTCCAATCCGAGCAGCCACACACCAACCCATGGCACACGCGAAGTCCTTATCATCTTCGGCGCCCTACTCTCCTCTGACCCTGGCGACATCCACCAAACCATAACAGCGCTAGTCGCAGACAAAATCCGCATCTCTATAATCGGACTCGCAGCGCAAGTCGCCATCTGCCGCGACCTGTGCGCCCGCACAAACAACGGCGACGACACCGTCTACGGCGTCGCCCTGAACGAACAGCATTTCCGCGAACTATTCATGGATGTCACAGCCCCCCCCGCCACAACTGTCGCTCCCACTTCCACACCCACAGCTTTCTCGGCAAATGGCCCCAAAACAACAACTACTAGCACGACCACCAGCTCCCTCCTCATGATGGGCTTCCCCTCTCTAACCCTCACCACAACGCCTACCCCAAGCCTCTGCGCCTGCCACTCCAAACCCTCGCGCGCCGGCTACCTTTGTTGCCGCTGCAACGCAAAAGTCTGCACCCTGCCTTCCTCCTGCCCCTGCTGCGGGCTCACCCTCATCCTCTCCACCCACCTCGCCCGCTCCTACCACCACCTCTTCCCGCTGATGAATTGGGTCGAGGTGTCCTGGCGCCGCGCGGCGAGGAAGCGAAGCGCCAGCTGCTTTGCGTGTGGTGTTGGGTTTCCGCGGATGCCGAAGCTGGTTTCCGGCGAGCCGGAGGAGACTGCCAAAGCCGCCGTGGGAGTTGGCGTTAGCGTTAGTGGCCGATATGAGTGTCCGGTTTGCGAGTGCCATTTCTGTATTGATTGCGATGTATTTGCGCATGAGGTTGTGCATAATTGCCCGGGGTGTCAGAGTGGGGTTGTGAAGCAACAGCGATTGAATGGGAATGGAGTAGCTGATGAGATGGACACCGGCTAGGTACCGTGATGGGACTAAAGCCAGAACTAAATAATAATAAAAAAGCGCACCAAGGCTGGCTCTGTTATGTTTTACATCGTAGCACATCAATTGGTCCCCCTCTCGCCTCCCTCCTTTACGTTTAATTTCTCCTGTACCAAGTACTCATCCACGGTGCACGCATTGGGCTTTGGCGTTAACTCTTGTATTTCCATTTGCCTACAATGATATGCTTGGGAATGAACTTCCAATACGGAATACATTTCCTTACATTTGAGCTTGCAGCAAACTGCTTTGCAAAAGGAGAAATAGGGCGGATGTGAAAGCTAGGTAACGAATATAAACATCGTCATTCATTCTTTCAGGGGCAAAAAAGGGGGTGAAGGGCCAAGAAAAAAGCGCGGCAGAATAAAAAGCGGTCAGTAAGGGGAGCATTGCTTCTCCCCGCCTTCTGTCCCCCATTTTCTCCTCCGCAGACACTCATTGAATTGTTCCTGACAATAGGAATAATAATAGCACTGTACAGACCCTCAATGTCGCAATAAAGGGTTGGCGAAAAAGAACAAAAGAAAAACAAACGGGAAAGGAAGGAAAGGAAAGCGGGACAAAAGAAGAAGAATATTACTACTGGTACAGATTCATCAACAACTCCCTCCGATCTCGTCACCGCAATGCCCACAACCCCCGCTGGTCAGGAGCCCGCCCCTCCTCTTCCTCCTGGCCACTCCTCCGTCCCTGGTCACTCCTCACCGTCATCGCCGCCATCACTATCCCCTCAGGAACACCAACAAAACACCCCCATCGATGCTGCCTCCGAAAATAATGCCGCGGCCGCCGCCGCCCCGCTCTCCTCCGCAGCCGAAACCACAGCTACACCAACAGCAACAGCATCCCCCTACCAACTCTTCGACACATACCCCTTCGCCACAGATCCGGAATTCAAACTTGGCCTTGGCCTGATCCTAGGAAAGCCGGCGGGGACCCCCGCGACAGAGGATGAGGTGACTGGAAGAAGTAGGCCTAGTGCGGCTGGAACTGGCGGCGGCGATGCGGATGAGTATGCAGAGTTGGGCGGCGAGTTACTGCTAAAAGCGAAGATTTATTACTTTACGAAGTGAGTGAGTTATTGATATATTTCTATACTACCTCCCACTGTATATATATGAATACCTACCCCCTCTGCTC